TAATTCTGCAAGATAAATGTGTTTCAGTTGATTCGTCAGTTAAAGATCATCTTGTTCATTCAGGAAAACAACATATATTGTGGGAAATTATGTCATTATTTCAGGATATCTTCGTTACAGGTGACAAAATTGTCTCATTATTTCAGAAAAATGCTTTTTAAGGGGGGATGTTATCAAATTATTTAAGAAAAAGTGCTTTTTGGGGGGTAAATTATCTCAATATTTCAGATATATTTTGGGGGAAATTATGTGATTAATTCAGGAAAACTACTTTATGGAGGAAAATGATCTCATCTGAGAAAAACTGAGAGAAATAAAGAGGAAAACTATGATCTTATAAAGCACATGGAGGTCATAACTTCATTTTGTTATTTCCTTTTTTGATTAGACTTGTTTTGTACATAATTATTTCATTTAACAGGAAAAAACGCAAAAGAGGTAAAAGGAAAGAAAGAGGCTTCTTAACTTTTTTTTGCACTATTCCCTGAGAAACAAGAACAAGAACTGGGAATTTATTAAATAAATAAATAAATAAATAAATAAATAAATAAATAAAAATTAAAAAAAAAATAAAAAAAAAAAAATAAAAAAAAATAAATAAAATAAAATAAAATAAAATAAAATAAAATAAAATAAAATAAAATAAAATAAAATAAATGAATAAATAAACAAATAAATAAATAAATAAATAAAGATAGCCAGTTTAGGTCCGGGCCTACCCTGGCTATAGTGTTGTTGGGGAACTCTCTGTAGGTCCTCCTCATCATCTGGTAGCCGTTGGCGTCGGAGAACAGGGTCCTGAGTCCGGTCCTGAGTCCGGTCCTGGGTCCGGTCCTGAGCCCGGTCCTGAGTCCGGTCCTGGGTCCGGTCCTGGGTCCGGTCCTGAGTCCGGTCCTGGGTCCGGTCCTGAGCCCGGTCCGGGTCCGCAGCACCAGCTCGGCGTTGAGGGGGAGGGGCCCCAGCGCGTAGCTCTGCTGCAGCCGGGGGCAGGACAGCCCCCCCCCCTCAGGGACCCGCGTGGTGATGGAGTAGGCCGGGAGCA